TTATCTCTGTAACTGTCAAGATTAGAACTCGCAGTATTGGAGCTTCATTTAGATTATTCTTTACTATGGTAAAATTAGGCCCGATAATCACAGAAAAGACAAACATCTGACTGCATTTAAGGTTCTAGAAGTTGGGAAAAACTCTCAAATCATCAGTTAGATAAAAGTGATGAACAAAATCTGTAAAATATGGAATAAAATTTAAGAGTCTACCTTAAAGTGTTCTGTTATAAGACTGAATAATTTTGTCGTGCTCCCTGCATCACAAGCAGTGTTCGACATTACTATTTCTAGTGGTGTTAAAATCTTGAGTTTAGTAATAACCTGATAAAAAAAATCAAAATAATAAACACACGTTCTAAAATACTTTGCCACAATAATGAACCAGTAATAATTAATTACAGAATCCTTGTATCTTAAAATTGCAGTTCCAGTCTTGTAAATAAAGACCAAATTTTCTGCTAACAAATGAGTCAAATTTATCTGTATCTATAGATCCAGATATATGAAAGAAAATTTAAAAAATAGAGGTATCTACCCTCTGTTATTTAAAGACAGAAACATGCTTCTTGTTGAAACAAGAGATAATATCCACAACTATATTCCATGGCTATGATGGGAGAAGGACTTATTTTGAGCAGATGGCAGCTTTCTGGGCTTGCAGCTGCAAAATTAGTGGTGCTCTGGAAGATGAAGAAGTGCAAGAGGTCCAAACAGCAATAACCTTTTGATTGAGGCTTGGTATAGACTTTGTTCTTAAGTACTAAGTATTACAGAAGTATTTCTGTAGCTGCCAGGCTCCACGTGTACTTACATGTGTTAGAACCAGAATAAAAGCATTTATGATTAAAAAAAAAAAAATCTACATTATACAACATACATTTTAGTACATAGACTTGACAGCTGTTTATACTGAGTCAAAACTACTTATTCTCTTAATTAAATCTAGTCTTTATTTCTTGGAATACTGTAAAGACGCAACAAGTCACATTTTCGGGCATGTGTAACTATGATAAAACCACTAAATAAGATGTTTTATTAATGCTGGTGCTGCATAAAGGAGAGATTATTCACCAGACTAGTGCAGAGGACACAGTGCTGGTGGCATAACACTTGGCTGTAAACTGAGTGAATTTCATTTTCAGCTAACTGAGAAGTATTTACGCAACCATAAATAATAAATAAATAAAGCCAGCCCTACACTCACCCTACACCCCATTTCTGCAGTCCTGCTCTCAAGAGTTGAAACATCTGCAAGTTCTACTAGCAGGTATTGCAAAATCTTCAAAACAAGGCATCTCACTCCCATAGTTCAAACACAGTATTTTTTGCAGAAATTCTACTTTTTTTCTCAAAATGTTCTTTTCTCTTCAGCTAAAATCTGAGACACAGTAAAGAAAATAGCAGTCCTTTCAACACTGCACATTTTCTATAACTTGTTACTTTGACTTTTGAAAAATTTCTTCTGCAAACTAAGTCTGCTTTCCCATTAGTCATGTATTTTTTAAACAGTCACAATAATTAGCCTGTAAAGGATACAGCAATTAAGTATGTAACAATACCTTGGCATAAGTTGTATTGTCTGCAAATTGTGATAGTATCATCTCAGGATTTTTTAAGTCAATACTGGCCATTCCTACTTCGCCCCTGGCAAGGCCTCTCCCTTCTACCACAGCTACAATGACGGAGGCAGCAGAATGAGAAGACACTGCAGACGAGGAGGTCACTGCAAAAGGGTTGCATAGCTTTGGTCAAGAGCCACGACATTACATCCGCAAAATCACACTCACAGAATCATAGAACGACAGAACTATTCAGGTTGGAAAAGTCCCTCGGGATCACTGAATCCAACCATCATCCCTATTCTACAAAGATCTCCCCTAAACCATCTCCACCAACACCACATCCAAATGACCCTTAAACACCTCCAGGGATGGTGACTCCACCACCTCCCTAAGCAGTCTATTCCAGTGCCTAACCACTCTTTCTGTGAAAAAGTTTTTCCTAATGTCCAGTCTGAACCTGCCCTGTTGCAGCTTGAAGCCATTCCCTCTTGTTCTGTCACTAGCTACCTGTGAGAAGAGACCAGCACCAACCTCTCTACAATGACCTTTCAGGTAGTTGTAGAGACTGATGAGGTCTCTCCTCAGCCTCCCCTTCCTCAAACTAAACATTCCCAGCTCCTTCAAGCCTTCTTCATCAGATTTATTCTCTAGGCCCTTCACCAGCTTCGTTGCCCTCCTCTGTCCTCGTCCAGCACCTTGAGATCTCTCTTGAATTGAGGTGCCCAAAACTGGACAACACAAACTTTCACTCCAAGTGAAACACGTTTATGTTTCTATGTTCATGGCAAGCCCTCTCAATTTATCAAACCTAGTAACAAAAAATTAGAAAAAAACCCCTTATATTGATTTTGGTGGGTTTTTTGAAAAAAAAAAATTTAGTATCTTAAAATTGGTTTGGCTTAAGTCTTCCCAAATGTCAGCAAAACTCAACCAATCTCATCTTCAAATATGCAACTAGCTCTCCGAAACAGTCCTTATAAAGATTAAATGTGAAATTTAAGATTATAGCTCCTTAATACTCAATGTCTTCCTTTCTGAAGACCCTAAACCTAATTTTCTTACCTTGTCTCTTTCTTTTCCCATGTAGATGGGAGACTGTAATACTCAAATAAGCAAATGTTTAACTTGCTGAACAGAAGTAATCACCACTCTGAAAAGCTGTTGCAACACAGGCTATGGTAGAACTCAGACAAACTAGAAAAAACCCTTCATAATCTCAGCCTTCTTAACTTTCAGCTGAAAGCTGAACTGAACCTTACAACAGATGAACTGAACAGATTCTTCACTTATACCTTAAGTTCACTTAATGTTCAGAAAAGATGCCACAGTATGTTTTGTGTTTTGAATACATTTCAGTCTCTTGCTGTATCACATTAAAATTGAGTATGCTTAATAAAACTTTAGAAACGTAAGTAGGACTATTTCCTTTAACAGCTGTTAGCCTTACCTGAATACCCCATAAGTGGGGTATGGCTTCTGAAAACAGGTCTGCCACAAGGAAGGGCTGCTTTTCCTTTACCCGTGCTGCTCAGGCCTCGCACAGAGGAAGAACTTGTGAGATTCAAAGCACTGGTGTTTTCTACACAAGAACTTTTGTCCCCAAAATACGACTCTGAGAGGGGGGATAAAAGTTTTGAAAAAAGACACATTAAATTGTACATCACCTAACTGGACAAAAAAGAAGTTTGCATCGTTTTTATTCAGAAAGCAATATAGACAGCTTAGAAAACTTTAGGGTTTTTACTAGAAATACAGCTGTCCAAGCAGCAACCCTTTGTGACATTCTCTAACAGCTTTCCAGACTACAAAATGAAATACAAATCTGTTCTGAAAACAAGCTTATATTGCTATGGTTATTTTCCACAATGACATTACATATACTGCAAATAAAAATCTACATTTATGTTGTTGGACTGAAATAATGCAATGGAAGCCACCTGACAGTGCATAACTTCATCTTCTAATTGCTGTAAGTCAGCTTTATCTCCTGGTTGCCCACCAGTTTTAAAACCCATATCTGAAACTGCATGAGCTTATGATTTATTTTTTTTAGGTGAGCCTTCTTTTTTAAAAAGGACAATAAAAGTAATCAAAGAAACATACTCAAAAACTCTGCCACTTGAGAATGATCTTCCTTTGAATTCATGGGGATCAACTCTCCAGAAATCATACCATAATCTGGGACATTTGTTACCTGCAGTTTCTTTTACACATGGATCTCATGATTTATGTACATTTTTAAGTCCTGCAAAATCTTTTTTCTCAGATAATTTCTAAGTTTCAGTAAATTATTTAAAGTATTTTACGTAAGTTCTCCTGAAATGTCTGAAAACATAAGATCTAGCTTTGATAGTTGCTTTTTTAAGATTAAAAATGAATTAAGATATAGTTTTTCCACTTAAAACTTAGAATATTCAATATACTGAGACATGTAAACACAAATAGATCTGTTCCTTCTAGTACACTAAATATTGATGTGTAAGACAAAATACAAAAAACCATTACTTCTGACCTTTTGGGGTTTTTTTAGAAGTGGATAAATAAGCACTGCAACACATACAGATAATTTTATTAAACCGCATTCACTTAGATTTTAGCATAAGCTCACTCAGAAGTTTGGCAGAAGAGACTTCTCTATTACCTTAGAATATCTAGTATCTGACATAACATGGGGAAAAACATTACACATTACATTAAACATTACATTAAACACCAGGTGAAACAAACTATCCATAGATTATTTTTTTTAAAACCAACATTTAACAAGTAAGTAATGCCCTACTCAAATTACCATTCTGCTTGGTTTCTGTTTGGGTTTTTTTAGGATTCATGACCAATCATATACATTACCCCAAGCCATGTTACCTTCCTTCCCAATTTACGCATAAAGGAGATGTACTTCAGAACGCATTTCAGCAAGTGTTATAAAGAATTCCGAATTCTTTGTACATAGTTTTTCCAATGAAAAAATACAACTTGAGTAGTTTTGTTCTGCATGCCAAGATACAGACTTTGATAGTAGGATCTAGTCTAACTAACTGCTTGATGCACACATGTTCAGTACCACGGAGTTGCTGGAGGGTCTCAGGGAAGCCAGAAGACTTGTATTATCAGCAGCTTTTTGCAAAGGAGAGCAAGTGCAGTGTTGGACTGTAGGACCACATCATTCTTACAACAACGATAACAGCACTTAAAACTATTTCAAAGCCCAGGCCAAAAAAACCCCAACTCAATCAACCAAACACAAAACCACCAACTGAATGTGGCTCAGGTCTCCAGTAAAGCAAATACTGTGTTGCACCTAGTGTATTGACCACGCTAGGAAACTGTGATGCGACCTAAAAAGCTTGTATTAAAAAATAAATAATAAACTGTTGAGGAACAACTACCATTGTTCTGCCTGAACGAAAAACAAGAGGGCACTAGGACGAAGAGATGACGCTGCCCCCGTCAGTACAAACACGGCTTGTCACCTCTCTGAAGCCCAAAGCAAGGGCGCAGCACACACACACCCCCGGGCTGCAGACGGGGAAGGCCGCACGCACCTGCCCTGCCGGAGCCCAGCGCCCTCCCCCCGCTCCCGCGGGCGGCCCCGCGAGGGGCGAGGCCTT